GACCTATGAACGGCATCGTCGACACGTCAACGGTAGCGCGATCTTCTTTATGTCGGGCGCAACGTGAAAAAGAACCACCAATCATTCGCCATTCCGCTCACGCTGTTGCGAAAATACTCGACCATACTTCCGTAAACATATTAATCAAGAAAAGACGCAGAGCAAACGATTCCGTAAAACTACTGTTTTGCGTATGAATTATTCTCTTTTTAGAAAATAAGCAAATTTATTTTCCAATGACGACAACTGACATAAAAACTCATATTTCGTCGCCAGTTAATGCATTCCAGTGTGTTTTTATTTTTACGCAACCAACGCAAAACCGACGTTAAATCACAAAGTTGTTTATCTCCTCATGCGTCACTGACGTAAAAAAATTAAAAAAACACCTCACGTAATAACAAATTACGAAAACGCAGCTTCGAACACGTGCGAACTCTGTCTCTCTCTCTCTCTCTCTCTCTTGCTTTCTCTTAAGAAAAAATTAATTTTCGAAAATTCTCACAATTGTTAAATAACGCGCGCGAGAAAGGACAACGGAAAACTCGCACGTCGAGTTACACACACGTCGGACATATTGGTTTTATCGTTGTATACACGCCGTATGTCTGATAAGCCGTTCGCAAAGGGGCTCTGACCGATATACGTCTTCGTGCACACAGCGTTCCTTGTGCTCGCTCGAAACGCCGTGCGCGATTTCGTCACGTTACAGCTACTTTGTTTTTCCACGGGGAACGCGCGATAAGATGCGGGGAACAGGTGCACGACGCGCGTTCGATTTGTCGAATTGCGCGCGTTGACAAGCGCGATCGAGACGCTGCTCGAGAAGTAAAATCGAATAACGACGTGCGGGAAAAACGAAGAAGAAAGTTCGAAAATTCGCCGCTCTCGGATGGGCGGGATCGAGCAATTCGTTTTGTAATAATCGGACAGAAAATGTGTGTGTGTGTGTGTGTGTGTGGCAACGCAAGTTTCACAAATAGGTCAGCGGACGCCATATGAGGTGTATATGATATTTTCGGTTGACTCTCCGGTCTCTCGCGTTTGGCAATATATTTTATCGTCGCTCACGTAAAAAAAAAAAAAAAAAAAGAGAGTCCTCTTCCCATCCCGCGGCGAGCGCGAATTCATTTCGCTCCCTTTTTGCGCTCCGCACGTGTCCGGACTCCGAGTTGCCGCAACGACGTGCAATCGCTTACATATGTACATGTATATATATATATATATATATATATATATGCAACTCGCCGAAAGCTGAATGCAAAAGTACCCTCGCGGACGGTGTGATACAATAACGCGCGCGCGTGTACGCGCGAGGTGAATGTCTCACGGAGATTATCGGCGCGGGGAGAGAAGAACACACGAAACGACCGTGGACAAACTTGTAGTTCAATTATTTGCTTAACTTCGTCGCGTAGTTATCTGTAACAGATAGGTCGACGCTTGCGTCGTGGCCTCAAGCGTGCCGACGATAAATCTTGAGGCGAGGATAAAAAATATTTCGAAAAAAAAAAAAAAAAATTTACGAAAGCCACGATTTGATCTCACACACGGCAACGAGTCGGCTAATGCCGTTCCAATCGGCGATCTCGATTCCTCGCGGCGAATACGGATTTATAATCGAACCTGGTGTCGTCCGTTCCAACGACGGACGCGTGTACCGCGATTGTATTTAAATGCGCTGTAAATTGCCGCCATTCGTTCTCGGCCGGTGATGGAAACGCTCCGCGACGCCAATGGATCGATAAATTCTATATTCGTTCGTATCTATGATAGCGGCGTTACGTGCACACACACACACGGAATGTGTAGTAAAAGTTATGTAAAGGGTACATGTCGGGGAAAAAAATGTTTCTCTGTGCGCAAGAAAGAAAAACATTTGAAGCAAAACCAGGTTGAATCGTTTGTTTTTACGAGTGATATTGAAAATTTGCAGATGAAACAAATTGCGATGCTAACTCGGAAAAAGATGAACAAGAAAACGGAGAGCTCATCAATCTGTGAAAAGCTGTTTTGACTCAGAAAGACTTAAGAACAAAAAGAAGTAATAGCTGAATGGAGAGAAAGAAGTTTATTTTCACAATAAGGCTTTGCGGAGATTCTAAGCGACATTTATCGTGCGCGGACCCAATTAGAGTCTGGTTTTGTTGAGAACACGTTTCGAGAGTCTCGTGCTGCGCAGTTGACGGCGAAAATCTGCGCAGGCGTTTCAAACTGCGAAAACAAGAATGTCCCCTTTCTTTCCCCCCGGCTTAACAGCGCCGTAATCACGCGCAAAATGCATATAATTAAACAGCTCGAGCGGCAGCAATCACCTCGAGAGTGCACGCCAATCGTAACACACAATCATAGCCTTCGTAAATAATTTAATTGATGCGTTTCGCAAGTGAAACAAAAAATGTTGCGAATGTTCCTCTCGCGCGTAAAAACCAGTTGCCCGAATAGCGACGGTGATGCCCGGCTTCGAATCTCGGGTCTAGGACGTACTTTGAAAAAAATTTAATTACAGTTTGGTGAAATCATAAAAATGTGAAATTGATTTTCGAGCGACGAAAGTGGTTGAGTTAGGATTTAACCCTCAAAAAACCTATCGTATAAAAATCACGTTAACGCTATCGTGAGTGAAATTGTTTTATAATTATAATATACTACAAAATATCTACAAAATCTCTTCTACTAAAGAAGTGATATATTACTACAAATGTATCTACAAAATCTATTCTACAAAAAAGACGCAATATATATAATAATAATAATAATAAAGTAGTAACGCCAATTGAAAAAACTTTATATATAATTATAAGATATTTGTGTAAAAAATCAGAAATTTATGTAGACTTTATAGATCACGTTTTATATCCGAAGTATATTCGGTGTTATAGATAACAAAACAATTTGTTAGTGAAATTAACACGTAACCCATCAAAACTGTATTTTTCGTAATTATTTACAAAAACATTTACTAGAACAGAAGTGTAACAAAAGAAAAAAGGTCTTTTGACGTTCGTCTCGCGCGTCGTTTATGTAAATAAATTTCTCTCGCGCGCTCTCAATTAAAATTTCTACAAGTTTCAATTTTATTAACTGACAGAAATTTTTCGCGATAACGACGAGAAATCAGGATTTAATCTGAGTAATACGGAAAGAGAGAGAAAAAAAGCGATCGCAAAAACTAGTACCTGAAAATTAATAGACTAATAAATAAGCTGAACGATTACATTCGCAGACTCATTCATGCAATTAATTACGTTATACAATAATGTCACATCAGCATAAAAAAAAAAAACGCTTTGTCAAACTTGCTGGTGCAAAAACGTTCAAAACAACATTTAACAACGAGAAAAAGCTGGAGAAATATGGAGTCAATTTTAGATCTTGCTAAAAGAAACCAAAAAAAAAAACTATATTAAAAAATTTGTCTTTATTAGCTAATTTCCCTCATTCGCACAGGAACGTTCTGTATGCTTTTTTTCGCGTATTTTTATTACACGCACATTGAGTGGCGTTGTTATTAGTAGAATCATAGATTATTTATGATTTGATTTGTGATATCGGTTTTTTTTAATTCTCTTTTGACGTAAAATTAGTTCGACAAGAGAAAGCTAATTATCGCAATTGCGACTAAAACGCCTTGCATATTTTCTCGATCGAGCTTCGAGTAATGTAACATCACGCAAGCGCACACACACTGAGCATCAAGCTAATAATTTGCTCGCCTCAAGGCCGTGTAACACAATTCTCCGCTCTGTGTGTAACATCACTTAGCTAATATATTTCCGATTCTTGTTTGACCGACTGTGTCGACACCGCATTGAGTGGCCACGAGTCTTTCCACGGTTTGAATAAAACATCCCAGTAATACTCCCTAAACATCATACCGACAAGAGTAATACAAGAGTTTTGACACAAGCCTGATAGATTCACAACGGTGTTAAATATCTTTCGACTTTCGTATCTTTTGTTTGCAAAACTTGGAAAATATATTCAGGATAATCGGAAAATGTGTGCATTATTCGAACTTTAGTTTTGTCAATTATTTTTTAATTATCTTTTTTTTTTCTTCAATTAAACGCGCTGAATGCGATAAGCGCGTTCCTCCAAGAAGCTTACGGGATGCAAAACACCGATGTGAGATATCGCACGTGTACGATATCCGGTTGCTTAACACCGTTTCGAACTAGCCGGGAGCTCGTGTGCATGCGTGTCGTTCATCGCGAGAGAAAGAAACGAGAGCAACGGGGAGGAGGAGGGGAGAAGGAAGATGAAATAGGAAGCGTGCCTTGTGTGCGCGTTAATTAAAAGTGCTACAGAGGAAGTCGCCAACTAAGAAGGGCGAGGTTGAATGGAAACAGCTGCTGCTCGATGACGACACGGTCTGAGCGCGCCTGTATGCGCGGCTGAAACTCCACCGCCCGTTACTTGTGTGTATACCGAGAATTAAAGCCGGTGTCTGTATCGAACAGATGGGACGTTATTGACTCTCTTCTTTCAAGCGTTCCTATCTCACAATTCTTCCCCCCGCGACGCGGAGCACGTGAGAACGAACTAAAGTATCACATCGAGAGATCGATCGAATCGAACCTTTCGGCAAATGCTTGGCTCGATATTTCGATAATGTACAAATTAATTTAAATTTTATTTCAACCGCGCTATTTGTCAGTTGCTCCAAATTATGTGAGGGGTGGTGGTGGTGGTGCTTGACTTTTGCAAATAATTCTATGTTTCATGCACATGTTCTAACGTTTTATTTTCTACGAAGAAAAATATTATTTATCACAGAAGGTTGCAAATGTTAGACAGTTTCAACAGAAAACTCGTGTAAAACAAAACAAAAAAAAAAAAAAAAAAAAAAAAAAAAAAAAAAAAAAAACAAAAAAAAAAAACAAAAAAACAGACAGTACAGTTAGCTGCAACAGAGAAGGAAGGAGGAGGAGATCGTTGTTATTACTTTTTAAATAATGTATATATACAGAATTTCTGACAAAACAGAGATTCAATACCTTGAGCTGTCAACATGTTCTATATGCTCGGTTCCCACTCTGAAAGAAAAAACAAAAGAATCGTCAATTTTACAAGTCTGATATATTTTGCGTATTACATTTCACATTTACATATACGTAAACACACATTAAGATGCAATACATTTTGTGTGTAATGCATATAAAAATGTGAAAATGTTAATGTTTGAACGCGCAAATACGTGCATAGAAATTTTCTCACATGTCCCCAAATTAACCTTACACACAGAAAAATGCATACTGTATCAAGTATATAATAAGTTTATATATCCGCAAATATATTATAAGATTCTTGTAAGTATTTAATTTACTCAAAATACACTCTAAATCTTAGTAAATTTGTATTTTGAGTAAATTAAATACTTACGAAAATCTTATAATATATTTGCGGATATATAAACTTATTATATACTTGATACAGTATGCATTTTTCTGTGTGTAGATTTCAAGTAGAATGCCTAAAGTAGGTATGTCTCATTTTCACGATTACGATTGAAAATTCTATGCAAATTCCAAAAATAGTTTTTCCATTGCAAATTTAAACAGAAACAATACATTCTAAAGTGGACAAAAATTGAGATTTTGATGTGAAATTAAAAAAGAAATTCCAATTTTTACATCAAGTATTAAAAAAAGCCAATATTTTAAGAAATATATAAATCTTTTATGAAATATGATACTATATCTTTTGCTACGTTGGTGCAAACTCCAACAATTTTTGTTTGAAACATAGACGCTTTGTTCTTATAATATGTATTATCAAGTACAAAAAAACTTTGTGTATAAAATTTTTATTTTGCAGATATATTGCACTGCAATAATTTTAATAAAATAATAATTTAAATAAATAATAATAGAAATGTGTAAGATAGAGCTCGAGATTAGTAGATAAAAATAATTACGATTTATTAAGAAACAAGTGGTCTCGCGGACTGATTGTGAGTGTAAGGGCTGCGAATAGAGGTCTCGAGTTTCAAATTCCACACGGAAAAAAAAGATTTGCTAGAATAGCAAGAAATTAGTTACTATATGGCCAGCAAAAAAACATTTGTTAAGTTTAGTAAAATTTTTGTTTTGCCAACAAAACATTTTGTTGATGAAACAAAAAATTTCGTAAGGTCAACCATTTTTTTTTGCTGACCATATAATAAGAAAACTTTTTTTTTTCCGTGCACCATTACGCTTAGGATTTTTTCAAGTCTGGTCCTTTTCACCGGAATTCATCGGTCGATCGGCGAAATAAATCATCTAAAGGTTAATTTGAGTGAAATCTCGAATTAATTCCCTTCCCACAAAGGCGATATGCCATTAGTACTTGTTTTCTTTTAGTAAGAAATTCCACTTGGATTCTAGATAGAATCTTTCTTTAGATTTTAAAGTTACAAAGCATTACACTTTTAGTTAGAAACAATACAGAATTTCCACTAAGAATCCAAGATATATTTAGAAATTCTAACTGATTTCCGAATAAATCCCAAACAAATTTCTATGAGAGTATAGTTTTAAGGATAGAACCGAGAATTCTCACATATATATGTATATATATGTCGTAACAAACTCCAACAGAAATAACACCAAAAAAAAAAAAAATCGTGTCCTAAGATAGCAAAAGTCGGTAAAATCTAAAACATCAAACTCGAGAGACTGTATGTCCTGTTGAACTAAGTTTAGACACGGTCTGACGGTCCTTTGAAACTTTAGAAATCAATTATGGCTTTTAGGACGTATCGTTAACACATATAGAAACAGAATAAACTACTGCTTAAGTTTTGTGCCAACGTACACTCCGGACACTTAAGGGGAGGTTCTAGTCAAAAGGTCCGAAAATTAACGCATTTTCATGATTTTTTTTTTGAGCAAACGTAAATGTTTTTTGAAAAAACTTTTTATTGTATTTATTAGTACATATTTGAAAATATAAATAATATTTTTTCCCCCCCAAAGAAATCAAAATGGCGGCTCCAGCCCTCACTGAATAAAGCCGTGCGCGGCAATAAGCAATGTGCGCTGCACACTCTACGGTTCTGCCAAGTGATCTAAAACAAAAAAACCAAAATTATTCTTAAAATAGATGAAATTTGGGGGGCCTTATGATTTCCAGATTTTTAAAAAACTCTTTTAAAAAGATCTGACGGTCATTACGAAAAAGAAGACCCTTTTTCCTGTTTTTTTTGTTTTGCTTTAACGTTAAAAAAACAATAATAAACAATTTTTAAAAAAAAACGCTTCCTGAAGGCCCCCTAAATTGAATAAGCTTTAATTTGAGCCGTCAAACATCGAAATCGGTTAAGTCGTTGAAGCGGAATCGTGTGCGGCGCGCAAAAAAAAGTTGTTTTGAGAAAAACGCGTCTAAAGTTTGAGGAAGAAAAAATCGTAAGTAATGTTTGTTTTTTGACACTTACATCTAGATGATCTCTCATCATAATCAGCTATTCCAGCACCATACAGGGTTCCTTCCTCATCCTCGAAGAGCATGTTTTGCTGCACTTGGGCGTTAATTTTTTCAATTCTGGCCCTTTTCATCAACTCTGACTCACTCGCGTTCGCTGACTTGACGCGCTCTTCGTCAGTCTTTGCAGCGAAATTTCTGCTGCTTTCAATAAATTATATAGGGAAATATCCTTTTGGCTACACATTTTCAAGACCCTAAGGATGAAAATAAAGCAAAAAAAAAAAAAAATTTTTTTTCCGATTTTGACTAGAACCTCCCCTTAAGGCAGCACGTACATGGTTCGGGACACTTTTATGGGCCGCGCCTTTTAGAGCAAATTAATTTATTTCAGTTTAAAGCTCGACGTTACGTTATTTCTTCTATCTTTATCACGGTCTATTTCTAAAAATCTCATTTGAAAAAATATTTCCAGCGTTTTTTTATTAAATTTCAGCTTTTTTTTTTGTACCGGCGCTATTTCTTTAAAGCATTTTCTTTAAAAAGAACAATCCCGAACGATCGCGAATAAACGAAGGAATGACCGAAACATTGGCCGAGAGCATGTCCATTAGATTCTCGTGGATCAAGCGACATCGCGTCTTCTCTCTCGCTTTTCCAATCTTTCTTTTTCTTTTCACCGCAGAGTTTGACCCTTTTGTGCACATCGCCGAGTGGTCGGGTCGTTTCTTTCGAAAAGCTTCCTCGACGACTTTCCCGCAGCCGCCAGTAGCACGGAAAATTTATCACGTCTCGTACCGAACGGCTCATCGATTTTTCCCTCCCATTCTCTTCCCCCGTGTCCCATCCCGTTTACTCTTTTATCTGGAACGCTACCGAAAATCCTCAACCGCAGACTGCGACCCCCGCGCGCGCGCGCGGACCACTTCTCTTCTTTTTGCTCATATTGACGACCGTAGCTCGTAAATCCGCGCTGAATCTCCGTATATTGCCTAACTGGCTCGCCCGCGTGGATTTACGGCGCGTTTCGCGTTGATTTACTGCCGAGTTCGTTAAGATAATACCCCGCGCGCTAACGTTAAAAATGGCGGAACACCTCTGCGCCACGTCGCGCGAGCAACAATATCAGAATTGTTGCGCTCTCGCGCGTTATCGCCGGTATAATACTAAAGCTCCGCACTTTTTTACGTATAAAAGCTTTGTATTCATTAGCGGAAATGTTTGCACACACACGCGACATAAAATCTTATCTACCGAAGGTGCTGCATTAAGTATCTGAGATATTCTTTCATTTCTAAAGCTGTCGTTGTGACGAGAAACAACACACGTGCGTGTTTCTCTCTTTCCACATTTCTTTTCTCATTCTCTCTCTCTTTTTTTTTCTGTGGACGGAACAAACGCCATTTGATTACGCGACAACACATTGTCGGCTTACGACTTATTACGTAACGTGGAAAAACGTGATCATAACTTGGCGTAAGAACGCAAAGAATCGACGCAAATAATGAATGAGAGAGAAAGGCCGCGTATGCGCGCGGTTTTCACCTCTCAAAAGATAATGCACAGCGGAACGAAAAAAAAAAAAAGAAACGCTAATCACATGAACCGCGCGCGCACAAACGATTTTCGGATCACGCTCCGTACATCTCGCATAAATTTGCGATATATCTCGGACTCTAAACACGGTCGATGTGAAACGCAAACTCTAAAAATAACTTTTTCCATACACTTGTTTCCACTTTGTTAAACTACCAGTTCCAAGAATGTGGAAAATTCAGCTGCTCGCAGGAAATTTGTTTTCTTTTTTCTTTTTCCTCGGTTCTTCATGTCAGTAATCGTATCACAGTCATTGTTCGACGCTCTTCATTGTAATATGAAGACTTCCGCAGCGGCAAAATTACGCTCTTCCGCGCTTTGTCATGTTTTATCCATCGTATTAAGCATTCTGACTGCGGAATAATATATTCGCGGCAATATTCTCGAGTTTAGCGAAAACTTTGCTACTTTGATTGTTAAATTTAGCGCGAAGTTTTCCCACTCGGAGTAACAATGAGAGAGAAAAAAACCATGAGAATTTTGACGATATAAATTTTTTGCGACGAAATCGCAAAAAGAACTCTCGTTTTTGTGCGGTGAATTCTCGCGTCTGATACAGTCATTTATCGTTATTCAATTTGAAACTCTCTGACATACCGTCATTTATCGTTACATTCAATTTGAAACATTTTGAACTAAATTTCTTAAGCGTCGTTAAAAAAAAAAGCGTCGTCTCTCGCGCAATCGAGTTAATTGAATAGAAATAAAATAATTTACACACGCGCACTCAAACGCGTTCGTTTTAATACGTTTCACGTGTCTCGACGACGTCAATTTCGGAGCGAGATCGTCGCGACGCCTCTTCGAGAACTCGCCTTTACCACCTCCTTCGATTCCCACGGATCTATAGACACAACGCGGGTATTCTCAGAACATATCATTACAACGGAGCAGATACTGATTCCAACGTAGCACTGACCTCGAGAACGAACACATGTTGTCGATTCGAACTTCGTTCTTATAAAAATTTAATTTGCATCCGCGCAAATTTAAATGCAGTTACTTACAGAAGAAACTTATTTACATTCAATTAAGACAATCGTCATTGAAAGATATTACACGCGCGAAGAGTGACAAAACGTATTATCGTCGACGATTAACAAATCAATAATTTTTTCTTTCCCATTCTTCACTAGTAAAGAAATAAAAATCGCGCAAAATAAATCAATTCTTTTTTATTTTTTCGTGAACGTAATCACACGTTTTCGTGCACAAAAACGTATCGTCAAAGCGGCACTTTTTCTCGAATGTGACGTCTCTCCCCCGCGTATAAACTTGCCACCAGTCACTGAGAGAGAAAAAACACTGAGAATCCGTGACGATGTGACATCACGGTAAGTGCACTGCGTGATATTTCACTGAGTCCTCGAGAGCTTCCTGCGGAACGAACCTGGGGCGACAACCCGCGCTCGTCCGTCAGCGCGGAGTTAAGAGGTTAAGAGGTTTTCGCGATATCTCGACATACGCGAAAGTAGCGCACAGCACATAGGAACAAAATTTTAAACTTTGCACGGGCGCGCACATGTAGGTGCGCGCATACACACACGCACGCACGCGCGCGCGCGCGCGCACACACACACGCACACACACAACAATATTTCGCTCTCTGCAATCAGAGGAAACTTACGTTCGTCCTCGAGTCTTCGACCAATTGTATCGACTGTTGTTTGTATCGACGTCGTTGTCCGTCATATCTCAATGTTATCCGTCTGGATCGTCACGATGGCACTAGTTTTCGGCTTTGTTCTTCTCCCTTCTTTGTCTTGCGAAAATCCGGAACATGCGTTGTCGCACAATATTTCGGACTTCTCGAAAATTGACCAAAATCGTTACATGTTTAATTTTTGGCATATTTAAATAAAGATTTTTGTTCATACATCAACACCTAGTATTTGACTCCGTATCGGCCCACTCACATATATATTTTTTAACAATTTCACGGAGTATAAATTAAACACATCTATTGTTGATGTTTAATTTTATTTTATTCAATTCTTGAGTGAAATTCAATAACTTGGAACAAAGCAAGACGCGCAAGTGAGAATGTGAATGCGAAGTTTTTTGATTGATTGATTTTCTCGTCTTTTCGTTCAGAAGACAGATTTCAACAAATGTTCTCAACGATGTCGATTAATACGCGCTTTACTGTGTGATCATTTTTTTCCCAAAGTGAAAGAGGTATTTTCGAAAATATTACTATACAACAAGAAAATGAATAACAAGAATCGGCAAATGTACGTTACTTTGCGCGACTCGAATGATATAAAACCTCAACGAGAAAGAAAGATAATTAGCGTTTTACTTACTGTCTAATATCGGACGAAAATTTGGAAATTTTTTCGTAATAGGTGTTTCATATTTGAATACATGGCATGTGTAGCCATTCGGATGAGGCAGGTACTGATGTTTAGCAATACCGCGACAATATCGGTAGGAACAATTTTGGTACTGTTTACACAATACCGCGACATACTATGCCGAATAGCTTAGTGTCATTTGCGTGTCATAATTGTGATTTCGAAGGAATTCCCGCGAGAGAACGGACGAGAACAGCATGGGAAAAAGAATATTGCACTGTTTTGCGCACATGTAGCACTTAACAGAGTCACAATTGGAGCACAGAACTTTTGAGAGGGCGTTCGTTGCGTCGTCGTCGTCGATATTTCTCGTCGTGTAATTCTCTCCCCTACGCCGGAACTAATCCGTTTTGCGTCACTTGCGGCGGTAGTATCCGTCCTGCTCTACGCACAACGAGCAGCACGTACGCATATGTAACAAAAAAACGAGTTGAACGTATTGTACGTATGCGCGCGCGCTCTCCCGTTCACGTTTGAAGTGTAAACGTAGACGCCAGGAGAATTGGAGACACGACCGCGACGACGTCCGCACGACGACTGAAGCTCGATGAGACCGACGAGTGAAAACGCGCCCGCCGCTTACCTAGTGTTGCATCGAACGCAAGAGGGCAAAAGGAGAAGTTAGGTGGGGGGCAGTGGTATCCAATCGTGTATAGTATGCTATATAAGCTGTGAACAGTAACGTAACAGGCAGAAACTAACACACCTTAGATTGAGATTGTGGTCATCATTTCGTCCACTTCAGGACAACTCCACTTTTTTGATAAGCAAAAAAAGAGAAAGAGAGAGAAAAAAATATTTTATACTATTACACTTATACGCGTATTTTGTTATTACACAAAACCAAAAAATAAAAAAAAATCTGTACATTTATAATATTACCTTTATCATTAGTATTTTTCAGAGTCATAAATTTTTCTTTGTCTTTCGCGGAAAGACCTCAATAATGACCTAGTGCAGAAATGCTAATTTTTATATATTCCTTTTCCGCGCTCAAATTAACTTCTTGACCTTTGAAAATTTTCTTGAAACGAGAGAAATTCAATTCGAGACAAATTAATCTAAAATCGGGAACGGAAAAAATAACCGGGAAAATCAAAAATCAAAAAATGTTTCGATAAACTTAGTACGAATATAGTCACTTTACGTATAACACGATCGGAGTTTGTCGCTTTATAGATTAGAATTTGTGTTATTCAACAAAATCACGAGATCAAAAATGCAACGGACAAATGCAGTCGTCGCAACACTAGTTTCGCAGTTAGTTTCGATCGGCCGTTAGTCGATTACTTTTGGCTGACCGAAACTAAGCTCTGCATTCACTGCTGTAATAAGAGTGTACAGTAGGAAGCACCATATCGTGCGGCTCTAGGGGAAGTATTTCTCGGAAATTTTTTTTCTAGTTGCTCCTATTACTGCGCGCGTGCTGCTCTCCTTCGATCCGGGTCCTCTTCGGGCTGCTGGCAGAGATCGAAGGAGAACGACGCGCGATGGTACAAGCAGTCAAAGAAGAAATTTCCGAAAAATACTTCCCTTGGAGCCGCACGATATGATGCTCCCTACTGTACCACCCTGCGCCGAGCTGGAGCTTATCGCGCACAATCCATAAACAAAATGATGTATACGCGCGAAACATGTATTTTACAGCAACGCGTGCAAATGCGACAAAAAGGAAAAAGACAAGCAATGGAAAGTTCCAAGACATGTAGACAAGAAATTACAAAGAAAATTTTTTTCGAAAAGAAAAATTGCGAATTTAGTATACAGAATTGTGAAAAGATTGGATTAATCTGAATCAAAAAGTTATATACCATTTTTGCAAAATTCGCAATAGTTATTGAGTGAATAATATACATACATAATAAAAACGACCGCTTGCCAAAAACTTTCAAAATGAAAAGTGACTTGACTTGTTGAGGTTGTCCGGTAAAATGAAACTGAACAAAACTCACCATTTCAAAGCTATTTATCCTTCCTACTGCTCTGCCCTCCGGAGAGCATCCGCTTTGATTGACAAATCGTAAGCTTCCAAACCTTGTTTTCTATTCGCTCATTGGGTACACATATTTAATCGTTACTCAGACAGGAAAGATAAAGAGAGGTGAGAGAGAAAAAAAGAAAGGAATTTACTGATTCTTTCTAGATAATTTCATTTCTAACATTGAGTATGTGTAAATACGGTTAATAAGAGCCATTCGCTAAATGTTTTTTGCGGTAATATTCGTGTATATATGTGTACACGTGCATATAAGATATACACGTGTTCACGTGTAAATCTTATACGTAAGTTTTTTATTGAGAATTTTTAATTCTAAAATTCATATAGTATGCTAATTTTGCATCTCATATATGAGAGACCCCGAATACCCCCCTAATTAATTTTTAAAATATTGCGAAAAAAACTCCTCAGCCAGGAGTCGAACCTGAAATTTCTCCGTCGCCTTTTCTATTCGGCTACCGAGGCAGAAGAGTTTGTTGGAGTTTGTCTCGCAATATTCGTAATTCTATCGAAGAAGATCTGATACTTCTGTAACGAAGAAAGCGTTATAGAAGTATATAGTAAAAAACGCGAAGAAAGCGTTACAGAAGTATCAGATCTTCTTCGATAGAATTACGAATATTGCGAGACAACCTCCAAATGCCTCAGTGGCCGAGTAGGAAAGGCGACGGCTCGAGAAAAGCCCGGAGATTTCTCGAAGGTTCGAGTCCCTGGCTGAGGAGTTTTTTTCGCAATATTTTAAAAATTAATTAGGGGGAGTATTCAAGGTCTCTCATATATGAGATGCAAAATTAGCATCCTATATGAATTTTAGAATTGAAAATTCTCAATTAAAAAACTCACGTGTAAGATTTACACGTGAACACGTGTATATCTTATATACACGTGTACACATATATACACGAATATTATCGCAAAAAACATCCAGCGAATGGCTCTTATTGACCGTATTTACACATACTTATTGTTTTAAACTTTAGAGCCAGAAGATTCTCTATTAAATTTCTAACATTTTTACCTTACCAAAAAGTAAAAGAAAAAGGGAAAACAAATTTTCATCTATCTCGAGCAAATACCTTACTAAATTGCATAATCTTTCAATCAAGATTACAGCTTGATTACAACACGAAGCAAAATCTACAAGAATACACTTCATATTTACAAAAAAAAAATGAAATAAAATGTAATATTATGTAGAAAAGATCAATCTTCGAGTAAGTTTCTTGTTGATTATCTTAATCAGTATTCATTACTTCTTACAGAAGCTCAAAGATTTATTTATAATGTTTATATAACCTCTATTATTATTAGCATTTAAATAAGCGTTGTCGCAATACTAACACAATTATAGAACAATTTTCAACACAATCAGGAAAGATCAGGATAATTTTCAAAAATAAAACAGATTTTAACCATAAGATAGATGAATAAATTTTCGAAGTGCATAGGGTATTCCTGCTCGCAGCTCTCGCACTCAGGCCGCGAGTCCACCGGGCCGGTCTTAAGAAGGTGTGAACGATATTATATCATAGATAGTGGCGAAAAATGTCCTCAGCAAACAGCCTGACTTGAGAGCAAATGAAATTAATATCCGGCCACAAGCGATCAATTTGACGGAGGATTAATACGGAATGAGATTCAAGAGCGTCTGATGACGTTTTGGCTAAATTAAAATCGTAATCGCGACGAATGCACACGTGACGTATACATGTGAGGCGAGAGAAGTCCCTGAGATTTTAATTCCTGTCTATCGAGACACGAGAGGGATAATTATTACGTCGTAATGCCACATAAAATAATTGAATCAGAAGCACCGAAGATATAATTTAAAAAAATCCTCTTAAAAGACTCTCATCAGTTTCGCGTGGCCATCAAAAATTGAGACGCACTTAGTGTGTACCTTGCGTTTCATATTAACGAGATACCTAGACGAAAAACAATTTATCTTAACATTCGAGAATGTTATTCGGGTTTGAACCACGTTAGTGTCTTTTTTACGCGTATATAAGGCACAGTGTGCTCGTGCAGTTCGAGCGCCATTTCGTTGCGCGTGAACTTGGTGCGAGGCACTACCGTGCCTCTTGATACCGATGTTTCGAGAACATTTTAGCTCACTTAGGATTTTCAAGGACAGCTTGATCAACCTATCCATCTTAAATCTTTTATCTCAACAAATATGTGAACAATATATGATCTCTATTATCTCTATTTTTACACATTGCGGACTTATCTAAACAATTTGCTTTGTATTTCAAAGAAGAGGCTTTTAACGATATCTTTTTTTCAAGATCTGGCATTCCAACAGTCATTTTTTACGACAAGAAATTTTTTTGACAGTTGCCTGAGGTCATTTAGAGGTTTAGGAAGAAATCGACAATGATCTCTGATTCGTTCTTCTCTCATATACGGTTTTTGAAGTTGCACAAGAGAGGAAGAAATCGACTGATATATAAAAAAACATCGATAACCTAATCTAACCTAACCTAACTGATTATTTTTGATTATATTGACAAAGTTTTCCGAAACTTTTGGGAAAATATAGACCTGAAAATGATCAAAATACTAACAATCAGACCTTTATATGTTATAATGTATATTGACTAGTTGAGTCATGCAAAAAAAAATATTTGTTTCAATTCTTCCCCACTATAACAACATTCACCCTTTTGACCGTTCAGAACAATGGAGATGGAGGCGGAGTGATAAAGAAAACAATAAACAATTAAGAAATGCTAAATTGTGCCTCGCACAATAGCGGTCCACACAGAGTTGCACATTTTATAAAAAATATCCATGTAGTAATGAAAACACGTTTCTACCGGTATTTTCTGGTAAAGACCGGCAAAAATTGATCTTTTTTAAAACAAATTGTCTTAAAAACAATAAAATAGAAAACTTTTTAATTAATATTTCTATGAATGGTAAAAAGTCAGGCGAATTCTGCCGCATAATACCGTGCAGTTTCTTCCTGAAGTTTTGAGATAAATTTTGTCTTATCATATTGTGAGAGAATATAGTGTATAACTTATTTTATATAACTAGTATAATTTATTTTATTGTGTACATCATTACTCTTTCCAACGCACGTTTTGATTCGTTATTATCTTTCAAATTGTTTTTTTCAGATGAATCATTTTTGTGAAACCACGGATAAGTCAAAAATTCGTGTTCCGTCGCATAGGACCAACGCAACAGCTCGAAAAATATATATAAAATATATATATCAACAACGTATTTGACGAAGATATGGCTAATGAATGCACGGTACGTCGATGATGGTTTGAGAAGAGTTTTTCCGTTCTAGCGAATTTAATCTTGAAAATGAGCCACGTGGACGATCAAGATGGATAATGATAAACTGTAGCTGTAGAAGTGGATACATCTCTCAAATTACACGTGAATTAGCAGCAAGGTTTGACGTTACCATTGACGTTAACAATATTGAACCATGGTTTTTTCTCTTCACTGCGATCTGCCAACTCTGCAATTCTTAATAAAAAAAAATCGGCCGAGTATCAGCTGCCGAGATATCGTGCCATTTGTGGTGAATACTATAACACATTA